ATATACATACATATATATACATATATATATATATATATATATATGTATATTTTACCGACCTTCACAGTATTATCGAATGGGTTGAGAGCTTCTGGCTGAAAAATAAATTGCATGATGTTATATATTGTTCGAGGCCAACTGTAATATTGCATTTAAAATAAATATATGTGATAAAAAAATAGGAAATTATCGAGATCGATTTAAAAAATGAAAAAAAAAGGAACAAAAGCAACGAATGCAACGTACCCTCGTCAAACTGTTCTCTCCTGACTTGAAACGTAAAATGAAGGATGACCGTACAATAATGAAAAATAAAAAAGGAATGTTAATCGAAAAAACAAACAAAACAAAAACATAAGTGTACAAATAAAAAGACATTGAGAAATACAAAAAATCATGCATAATCTTACACAGTATATGTATATCCTAGAAAAATATAAACAAATTATAAAGCAATATTAATTAGCGTACCTCCTGAAGTACTCGTTTTAGTTTTAAGAGCATAGTCTTAAGGGAGACAATGTCTTGAAACATGTACTGGAAGGTTGCACGATCAATCCTGATGGTTGTGTCGTCGCTCGAATCGAAACTGGGAGATGGAATCTACAAAGAAAAATCATATGTAGATAAATGTAAACAAATAATGCAACTTTTTGATTTATTATTTCTTTCGATCAAAAACACTCACACTTCTCGGTGTTCTTAGAGGACTTGGTATTTGACGACTACGAATGCTGTCTAACGAACGCGGTGATTCTGCACCGGACCTGCTTCGCAATAATCTCGAATTTCTGCCATTTATGATTCTGAAATCAATGATAAAATAAGCGATCATTTTATAATACTCCCATCAGAGATATATATTTTGTACGTTGCATTATTTAACACGCGTTGAGACATGAATTTATTATATTTCATAAAATTCAAATCGGGAGAGAGATCATTTATGAAAAGCTTAGAAGAACCAAGTCGATCGTAAAAGTTCTCACAAGAGTTCATTTTTCTGACCAATTTCATTTATTTTCATATCGATATCCGTGCAATTGATATGCATTTGCAACATGCAGACGTTGGATAATACGTAGGAACGATCTTTTTATCTCCCTTCACTACTTCACATTTTTAACTTCAATAATTAGCAACAAAAAAAAAGAAAATGAAAGAAAAAAAAAAGGATAATACCCATTAAACAAAATTGAAATTAATCGGAAAATAAGAGTGCTTAAAAATTTGCAAAAGCAGCCTTGATAATACGAATAATAATAATAAATAAAAATAATAGATACATGTGGACGTGTTATTACATGCTATTACATGCTAAAAGAAAAGTCGGATCAGAGATTTATAAATTAAATATCCATTGTGAGTTTTGTTGGTAGGAGAAAAAGCTACCTGCCGTACTCTGACTTAGCACGTGATACCGAGGCAAGTACGGAGGGGGTAGTTGTGGTGGTGGTGGTTTTAATGCTGATAACATTATCACTCGATTTTGGTTGTCTAGGAGGGGGAGAACCTCCTGTCGGTGTCGAACACTCCGAAGACAAGCCGGAATCACGACCATCCTCGGTATTATTTCCATTTGGGATTCCTCCACCACCGATATCGTTATCCCGTGTTCTCGTAGACGGTACTGTTCGTTTCTTAGCACCCGAGGAGACCCGAGAAGAGGCCATCGTCGTTCCTCCTCCTTCCCAGTCAAACTTTATAATAACTTTATATTTAACCGCGTACGCGAATCTCTTCCTCGACACGATTATTTCTTTAAATTGCCTCTCGCGAGCGTGAGAAACGCGTAAAACAAGATCCAGAAATAAAGATACGCAAAGAAGATATCCTCATTTCTTTTTTTTGCGGTTTACATGCGGCATAGGGTATCGCGTTTGCGTCTGTTCTATCAAACGATCTACAAAAACTGGTTAGACCACCACCGGTGTAACTTTTCAATTAAAACACATATATATATATAGCCGTTTACTTTGATACTAATTTGAAAACATTCTAGAATTTTTTTTTATTAGAATGAAAGAGCAATCATCTGGAAAAAGATTCGTTTACTTCTTTTTTATTTCCATTAACATAATTTATAAAAATTCATATCGAACTACGAAAGAAATAGACGAAGAATCTCCTTGAATTATTATTCAACCCCCTGACAAGTTATTTTCAGAATAAGAACAAGAGAGTGAGAGAGAAATACATCGAACGTCTAACAAATCGATATTATACATTTAGAAATTTTGTTCTCGTTGTAGACATTGTATAGCAGCGAACGACGATGATGCATAATTCCGTAACAATCTTCCGATGACGAAACGTACTTGCTCGTGATTATTTTCTTTCGTTAGAGAGTTTCTAAGAGATAAAATGAATCACAGAAATAAGCGAAGAAATGAAACTCCTTGAGACGGAATTTTGGCATTCGCAAGCGCGATAAATTTGCGAGATAATATGAGTCGGAGGAGGAGGCGGAGCAGGAGGAGGAAGAGGGTGGCGGGCGGGGGCACGTGTGTACGGGGGAAAAAAATGGACACATGCACACGTAAGAGGCGCGAAAACACATGTAATAAATGTCGCGAAATAATGTGAAAAAATAGGCAAACGCGTTCGAGAAGACGTTCGAGAAAACGTTCGAGAAAACGTTCGAGAAAACGTTCGAGAAAACGTTCGGGGAAGACACACTCTCGAGGAATCCTCGATGTTAGCTCGTCAACGATCGACAAACCAAGTCGACTGTGTTACACCGACAACACGATTTAAGTTCCAAGACCAGGAGGAACAAGAGACCAAGAGGAAGAGGATTGCGCGTCGTAAAATGGCGCATGCGTTTCCAAGAGAATACACCGTTTCGCTCGATATCCAGGGAGTTTGTGTGCTTGCTAGACAACGCGAGAGAAAGGGAACGATCACCCCCTCTCTTTTTTCATTAAGGAGAGAGGGCAAACCGAAGGGCAAGCTAGTTACATGCAAAGGGTTAACCAAGCTGGAGCTACACACTGAGAACCATCGATTATATTTTTCTATATTTTATTCTTTCTATACCTAAGAAAGCGTGTCACTAGACAATTTTCAAGTAAACTTCTCATTCGCAATAGTATTTATTGTAAAAGAATATGTTTGAATAAATTTTGTTGGAAATGATACTTCTTCAACTGTTTTTCATCCCTATTCGCTAAACGATAAATTGAATTCGATTGAAAACATTCGAGAAAAATTTGACTTTCGATGATATCTCTGGAGACAGGTCAATTATTTCTGAAGAAGATCAAGAATGAAAATAACCAAACCGTAGAAAGAGATCGGAGTTCGCTAACTGGTAACGCTCTGATTGGTAATGAAAGAACTAGATAGGAGGTAAGCAACTGTCTTTACGATGCTTACCCATTTGAGTAACTTCCGTTATTTCGATTTTCCTCATCGATAGAGTTTCGCAAATTGAAAAAGAACAAGCTCGAATATATTTCAAAATAGAAACGACGAAACGAAACGACGAAGGGGAAAGTTTCATTTATCTTATCCTTTCACAGCAAGTAAAGTCACTTAAACGAATCATTTCGTACTTTTAAACAATACGAGTTATGACTCAATCGTTTAACAAATGTGTGTTTGTGTCTGCGCGTTATTCTTATCGAATATGAGAAACACACACTCATATACGGTGTACACTTATTGCAGGGTAATCAATAGCAATATATTATATAAAATAATAATATAATAATTTCTTTGCAAAATGAAAGTGCAGCCTTTTTCATAATGTCGAATAACGTTTCGAACGTAGTAGAAATGAGGAAACAAAAAAATGGCGAAATTCGTTGAACGAACACTTTTTCAAATTAATTTAATCAGATTTATTAAAGATATATATATATATATATATATATATATATATATATATATTCGCTATCGTTGCGGTATAATTAATAACAGATCAGCAGGTATATAATTGACAAGAAAAATCGTCGACCACGGACTGACCAAGGTTCAAAGTGATACTGTAAACTGAATACTCGCAAAGTATTATAATCATATATGCGTCCTTAATTTTTGTTTTCATAGTAGATTACTTATACTCTTGAAAAGAAGAATAAAAATAACAAGTCCATGAACATAAGAAGAAACCGGTTCGTAACGAACGTTTTCTTCTTTAGTGCGAATATAAATGCGTACAATTTGTTGGAATAACAAACAGAAATTGTAATTATAGAAAACATTGACGAGAAAAATTGACATGATACGGTTTTTTTTTTGTTTTAAGTCATTGCAGTTGCAGGTGAATATACGTAATACTAGCATTCTAGTTGCATACAACATTAGAATTAAAAACTGAAAATTTGTTAAATCGTGTCAATGGGATTAACAAATGCAATATATATTATATATTAAGGGCAACATTCAAGGAAAAGAATAATTATAGGAAGATCTCATGCTTTTAAAGTGTTATAATCGCTGGTCGAACAACGAAAAAAAAAAAAGAACAAAAAATACCAAAATTCACTTTACTTCTACTTTTGTTTTATAAATATCGACATTTTTCTTTACAGAATATACAAAAATGAGCACACCAAAATCAACTATAGGAAGCAAGTTACTGCAACAATGTTTTTTTTTTTTCTTTTTTTACGATGGTAAGGTAAAACTCGAAGTAAATTATTATTACTACATGCTATAAGCGTCGTGTCAAAAACCAGATAAAAGCGGAGAGAAAAAGGAAGTTCCGTGCTCGAGAAAAAGGAAGAATCGCAGAGCAATGCATACTTTGATCTCATCTTTCTCGTATTTCTCAACGAATAATCTTTACCTAATTTTTTAGAGTATTCTTTATCGTATTAACTTCGTTAAACGACAAAAAAAGAAAAACTTTGCATCAAAATCAAGACGTATTATTGTGTGCGTGTACGTATTACTCGTTAAGAAAGCGATTAAATAACGTATTATTAAGACAACAATTTATTGATTGTCATCGTAGACGAACACTCGAAAATTCAATCATTTTCGTCTTTTTTTTTCTTTTTTTGGAATCGTCCCTTTACTCTCCGTCAATTATCCTGGAAATATACGAATTCGAAATATACATATACAAATATATATATGTATATGTATATACCTATATTCAATATATTTATTTTCTGGGCAAAATCTGCACGATTGGTGCAACGAACGAGAAATCTTTTTTTTTTTTCTATTTTTGTTTAACAGACGAGGAAGAATAGAAGATTTTCCAGACAATGCACAAATCACATTCATATATATATATATATATATATAGTCATTACTCTTTACGAAGGAGGCGAATGCAGAAGAGAGATATGTAGCTGATGAGAAATTATTTACCCGTGTTCTTCGTAGATGATCGAGTTTCCTTCCTTCAACGAGAGTAAAAGCAGTAGAAAAGGTCAGTCCCTTCCGCTCATCTTCAAATTCTTCTCGAATTTATGTCCATTAGATTTCATATAGTAATTCTCGTCAAGTTTTTCTTCCTTCTTCTTCTTCTTCCGTCATTTCACAACGTATAATTCACAACTTTCTTTTCTTCCATTCTTTCTATCCTTCTATTTTTCTTCTTTCCCTTCTCCCACTTTGTTCTATTATTTATTCGTTGATTCTTCGTAGCGATTAATTGCAACCCCTTCCCGTCGTTTTCTTCACCCATTTCCATTTATGATTTCATTTCTTCGAATTGTTTTCCTCTTCTTTAGGCTCTTTGATTTTTGTTTGTTTTTCTCTCCCAACGATTCCCACGTAAAACGAAATTTCTTTCGAGCGAACGACACGATATACGCGCATAATTTATATTTTATTATTATAGCAGAACAATAAAAGCTTTATTACATAGAGATAATTTTATATCGTGCGAGAGATTTTAGTAGCATGGACATCGATTACGAGGAGATATAGTTTAAACGTTTCCTTTAATATCGTTTAGGAACACGAAGGAAACGTACGTATATTTATCTCTCTCTCTCTCTCTCTCTCTCTCTCAAACTCTGATTTTTTTCAGAGGTTACGCTTTTTAACGCTTCCTATTATGGCACTTGCTTTCTAAATTCTAATACGAAGACTAGATTTCGCAATGTTTAGGACGAACAATTTTTAGAAGACTGTTTATTTTCTTTGAATCACGATCATTGTGAGGTCCTTTGGCGTTGCATCAGCGGTTTTTATAGCAGCAATATTAATAAATAATATTTATATATTTATTACGTCATATATATATGTAATTATTATTTGATTAAATTCGATCTTTGTGAATCCGATTGGTTCGAGGAAAGAGAAAACAAAATAAAAAGAAAAAGATAACTTTTACTTTGGCAAAGGAAACTTTTCTTTCGAAAAATTAAAATAATAAATATATTAGCGAATATGTAATTGAAAATAAAAATAATTTCAATTTAATCGTGATTTGTTGTTCTTCATTGAATTAGATTTTGATTCGCGAAACGAAAAATATGCACCGCGATATAAATAAAGATTTTATAAATCCAATCTCGACGATCGTCGTTATATAGACTTCGTTTCCTAATTTATATCGATATAGTTTAACGTTATTATTTTCCTCGATTAATTCGAATATAATATAAAGATCTTACGATCACACACTTGGTACATAAGTACTTCATATATATGTTATGCATACAATTATACCCGCTAGGATTAATACACGAGCAAGAGCAATTATAATGATACGATGATGACTAATTGTAAGTAGGAACTACACGCTACATAGATTATTTTTTACCGATTTGATTAGAAACTTCGAAAGTCCTTAAAAACACCAAAATTTTATATATACCTACATATATATATATATATATGTATATATATGTATGTATATTGTATCGTGTGTGTGTATATCTTACGATTAGCCCAATCATTCGAGATCTCGAAAAAAGACGAGTAATTATCGGACGTGGCAAATAGGACGTATGAAATTGGAAAAATAATCTCTACCTTATTCTCCCTTAAATTTTATCTGTAACCTGTTAAGCCAATTGCCACGTAACGAGAACGCTCGAGGGAAGGCAATATATTATGTACGTATTTTATTCGTTTCAAGCATGTCAAACGCATGGAATAATTAAACGAATTGTCAAATCAAACCAATTAGAAACAGTTCAAATAAGAAATATTCACCGTGTATACAATTTTGTTTAGGTAACTAATCCAATAAAAAAGATAAGTAAGTAAGGAAGATTTGTGTTAAAGACAGAATAATTATTCAATTATTTTCAATTGTAATTGTGTGATACACTCGAGATGAGAAATGAATTCGAACGAGAGTTTGACATGCTCGAATAATTGCAAATGTTATTAATATCTGCAAAATGTTTCCTACCCAATTACAGTGATTACACGATATCGAAAAGGGACAATTTACGAGGCCGTTGGGGGCAAATAGAGAGATCATTTTTCGTTTGTTAGGAAAATATTCGCGTCGCGTTATCGACAAATATTTCTACAAAATTTTATGAAGTTTCTTCTCTGCGTTCTTCCCGTATTCGTGGCAATGCGCTCGTAAACTATTATAATCATCGTATCTCGTGCAGTTAGTTGATCAGCGATAGTGTAAGGATTAGTATACTGTTAGTATCTTTGTACGAATTTGCTTAGGACACTTTATCTTTTTCCTTCGGTTCATCCCTATCTATTTTTTTTCTTGTCTCCTTTCTCGTTTAACTCGACATTTCTATTTCGTTCGAATTTTGTTTCCTCTCCCGACTTTTCTCTCTCTCTCTCTCTCTCTCTCTTTTTTTATTCTGAACATTCATTGAGACGTAATATGCATTCCAGCCTCCATGCGTTCTCTTCTAAACACACACGTGCATATCTGATCAGGCCGTATCTGTCGTTTCCCGTTCCCCGTCTGAGGAATATCGAGAACGACGTTGGTTTAGATCAATTATGTTAGGCGTCGAGAGAGGAGGCCCGGCGAACTCCGGTTGCTAGTTGGGATATGTCAGCTGGTAGTAGTCCCCACCAGCGGAGTCCTCATCGGGGATTTGTAATTGCTTCACTCGTTTTACTAGTGCGCTAGAACACAAAATACTATCGCTGAAATTCACCCCCTTTGGCTTGTCTTTCCAATTCTATTGCATTCATGCCGCTTTATTATTTGTCTTTTATTATTTCTTTTTAGCGTTCTCGGGTTGCTCGTTTATTACTGCGTACAACGTCACGTCGATTTTCGCAGAGACGTGATTAGGTGGACTACAAATTAACGATACACAATTTCATTACGAATATAGCAAACATTTTCGATCAACGCTATATATATATATATAGATATTTGTGTGTGTGTGTGTGTGTGTGTATATATATCGGCGTGATATCAACTGATACATATAGACAATATATGTTTTAAGATTTCTACTATCTATGAATAACGATACATAATGACTACTGTAACAAAAAGCTTCAATTTTCTTTTCGAGAGCTTCTTCTTTCTAGCGACACGAATAAAATTAGCTGGGGGGAAAAAATGTTATGCGCATTTAAATAATCTGTACATGAAAGAATGTGGATGATCATTATAAGTATGTTTACAGAAAGCACGTAGAAATCGATTGAAATACGAAAAGAATGCTCGTTAAAAAGGCAGATAACGAGCGCATGTTCGAAAATATTTCTTCTATTTTCTCGTGGAAGAATAAAGTAATTCTGCACTTTGATAAATGTTTCTTTATGCGAAGCTATAAGATTCCCCTGCAATAAGGTAGAATGAATCTCGACGATAGTTAAATGACTTTCGTGAGAAGCTTAGATTTCTGTCCTACGTTTTAAACGCCCTTCGCGTATAATCAACCTAACACTTTGCAAAAGGACGAAAGCGGAAAAACACACGCACATAGGATGACGATCAATCACGTTAAGCAAAAGGAACTCTCTTATATATACAAAGTGCTATGCACTTATTAATCGAAACAGCGAATCACGTGTTATATTATGTATTTGGCATTTGAAAAAAAAAAAACAGAAAAAAAACAATAAATAAATAAATAACAAAAGAAATATTCGATTATTTGTTTTTAGCGAATCGTGAATCATTATCGGAAAAGATACGAGCCCAGGATCAATGTAACGTGTGTTACTTACAGATGCAATTACTCTGCCCCATCTCCAACAACAATAACAATTGATACATCGATAAACAGGACACTATCGAAAAGAAAGGAAAAGTAGGCCAAAGAAAGTTTAAACACTTAAATTGTCCAACTAAGAAGCCAACGAAAGTGGTGCAAATACACACCCAGATTCCGTAGTGGAGTGATTGTTGTTGTTAGAGATGCTGTTGTTGATATTATTGTTTACAGTATTAGAATTAGAAGTTTGCTGTTGCGTAGGTTGAGTCGTGCCCAATAACGAGGTCCACTGTCTCATCACTTCTTCGCCTTGCGCCTCCAGTTCGGAAAGTATGGTTGCATCGTCCAGTTCGTGCAACGCGGGATTAGAATCCAATCTAAGGAAAGCCATTGCAACAGATTTAGACCCATAAAATAATAATGTTGATTTCATTGATATAACAACGGAGATTATTGCTAACCGATTATGCGTATCCTCGGTGGAACTCGCATCGCTGCGTTCGTAATCTAACATCAAATCGTCCGAAGCGATTGATTCGCAAGGTGATAAGGTATCGACGCTTCCTGCACGACTTATTCGTTTTCCATGAAAGGGACTAATACCTGAATTTTTTCCAGATTGTTGCATATCTGTTAAAAATAAAAATAAGGATATATCAATTGTTTGTAACCGAAGAAATATAAACGACCACTCTACATTGTGATAATTATATAGAATCTTACTTGATTTAGCGATCGATTCGACCAAGGTGTGACTGTTTTCCGTGACCACTTGATTAATCGCCACGGATTGAGTCTCAACCGCGACTACCACCGAATTATCGTCGAATATTAATCCAGGCTGATCGGCGATTTCGTCGTCAAAAAATTCTTTTCCCTCTGACAAACTGAGCGAATTGGAGGCGTTGGTAGGCGTGCCAGGACTGTCATCGTCTATTGTATTCCCAGATCGTTCCATGACGCATTCCTTCTTGGACACTTTGTCGTCGGATTGTGTAATACTGGCCGTAGGACTGTCGAAAAGACTGTCAACCGGTGACGTTTCGTCGTCTATTAAGGCGGTAGAGGTAGCAGCAGCCGCTGCAAATGCAGGATCCTCGATGGTTAGAAGGACGGAACGAAGAGTACTTTTCGGTAGATTCCCATTCTTGGCAGCGTCCGATATGGTCTTTATATTGTGCTGCGTAGAGTTAGAATTGGAACGTTGTTGACACTCGTCGCTCGAGCTAAGCGAGTACTCGTCCGCCATTGCTTCCCCGTGCCCGTACTCGGGATCGTCCGAGCTAGGCAAACTGAAGTCGGACTTGATCGAAGGTATTTTTTCGGTACGAGACCTGTCTTTGTAAACTTTTTCTTCGCCCAAACCTTCGTCGTATCCCTCCGAGGAAGTAGTTGACATCGAAGTTATGGAACTCGTGTACCTGTTGTCCTTGTTAACGATTCTTTGATACTGCGTCGCTCTCTCCCGCACTAGCCCGGTATTTAAATTAGGGCTCGCGAAGCACTTTGGCAACGGTATTACGGATATTTCGGTTACTGTACTGTCGTCATCCCCGACATCTCGAACGTCGAAACTCTTCCCACTGACTACCATTTTTAAATTTCTACCACGACCAAATGCTGCTGTCCCCCTTCTACTACCTGTCGTAGAACCATCTATACAATCGTAACCTTCGTTCCTTTCGCTTTCCCCCGGACAACTCTGGTGACTGCTAACACCAGAATCCTCCGTACCTGAGCCTTCCTTCGAGCTAGCCGAGCTTTTCGAACCAGTAGAAATTTTTCTACTTTGATTTGCAACTGTCTTTGCGATTTTCGAATTGGTATCGTTCATTCTTACAGCGTATTGGGGTAGCGGTAGATGACTTGCGTGTAACGTGTATCTGGTTACCGATTCGGGAATGCCAGATACTCTTCGATTGGCGTCGTTGTTGGTGACATTATTATTGCCACCGCCGTTGCTGCTGCTGTTGTGCGCTGACGGGACGTTTGCTCGTAGCTTCGATCCTGTAGCTACGTTATAAACCTTTCAACAAAAAAATATATCTTTAGTTAAACTATATCGAATAATCTCCACTGGAAAAAATCAATCCCAAACGATTCGAACCTGTACAACTCTGTTCTGTTGTTTAGGAACGTGACTCTCGTGCTGCTGATACTGTTGCTGTTGCTGTTGCTGTTGTTGATGCTGTTGAAGCCTTTCCTGATTGTAATGGCTAACGCTATGACTGTTGCAAATGTCACCGACCTTGTTCGTGAATCTGCCCTGCGCTTGCCTGTATCCAAAACGATTTGTTCTTGTCGATACCCCAGTCGCTTCCTTTTTCGGCGGTGCCAGCCGTGGCGTTGATCTTCCGGAAGATGAGTTTTGAACGGCCTGGTAAGTAACATCGTCGTCTCGTCTACGGGTTTGCTCTGGACCGGCTGACTTAGATCTTGGGTGTAATAACGTTAGATCCGTTGCATAATTTGTTATCGGTACCGGGATTCCTGTGGTAGGTCTTCTACGAAAGCCGAACGACATTGCAGTACCTCGCGTGCATGGAGCGCCACGTTTCGATGCACCCTTATTGTCATTCTGAAAATTAACCGTTTGATCCTTCCTATCAACATTTCTTATACTTATCTAATGGGGGAAAAAAAGAAAACAAAATGCAAACGTAATTCGCATTAAGAGCGTTGATAAAGATCAAACTAATTAAAGTTAGGTAAATATATGTGTGCATTCCAATCGATAAAGCTAAAGTTAAGATAAAGTTCGTTTTATCAAAATGTTTAGTAGTTATTTAAAAAAAAGAAAAAAAAATCGTGTCACACATAAACGAGTCAATTTCCCACTCATGGAAACTCCAGAAATAGAGTAACCATTCGGGACTCCGTTTCGACGAACTAGACACGAGAAAATCTTCGTCGAGTTCCTAGCAATTGCGTGGCGTGTGTAATCATAATCGAAAACCCGAAACGATTCCTCCATCGCGAAAAACGTCGTCGTCACATTTGAACTATTGATTTAAACGGGAACTGCGTAGTGGCCCTTATCCTTCCTACAATTAGATAACTCATTGAAACATATGTTTTTGCATGTTGTTACATTTTTCTTTCGAATGAAAAAAGAATTTGTATTAGGAGGAACCGGTCACCTTGGATGCTTATGTAGGATGTGCATGTAAAAATTAAAAATTGCAATGTGTCGCGCATGCGTGTTAAGCGCGATTAGCCACTCGGTGAACGACAAAAGAAAAAATAAGATAATCGTAATCGCGTTCGATATTTATTAAGATATTTTCCCTTATTTTCATCGTTATCGCATTCACAACAACAGCAACAACAACAACCAACGTAGACGACGTCACTCGCGTAAAACGTGTTAAATTTATTTTTCTTTTTTAAATAATTTTTTGCATGTGAGCAAAACCAAGACGCACGCTGATAAGAAAGAGCGCTTCTCCTTACCGCAGTGGCACCGAACAACCCTTTCTCGTTCTCCAGGACGTCATCGTCGTATCTCGTACCGGTGGCGCACCGATAATCCATCTTCGATGATTCAATCTTTCCAACAAATTTTCCAAAGATCGATTGATGTGCACCGTATAATGTCTCTCTCTCTCTCTCTCTCTCTCTAGTTTTTCTTTTTTTTTCTATTTCTTACTCGTCTTTTCCTAGAACAGCAATCACGCAATTCCACGCCAATGGAGTCGAAAATATTTTTAACCGGCTAGGGTCGAGAAGAAAAGTTGGCTTCTAAGAGGTGATTAATTCTTTTCTCTCTCACTCTCTCTCTCTCTCTTTCTATTTCTATTTCTTGTTGACTACCCTTAATTTAATCTTCTCTCTTTCTGGTTAAGTCTTCGCGAACGCATCACGTCGCACGCCGGAGACGTTTCTCTTCCTCGTCATCGTCGTTATTGGTATGATTATTCTTACTGTTATCGTACATTTTTTCACTTCGTCGTTGTTCCCTTTTTGTTTCGTTCGTCGTAGTCGAGCTCGTACTCGAGTTTAAGAGAGAGACGAGGACGACGACGAGGAGGACAAGTTAGGAGGAAACGGACGCCGCGCCGAATCGATCCGGTAAACTGCGCCGGCGTCGCGACGCCACTGCACGCACGACGGCGGTGTCTTCTTTCCCACTGTGTGGAGAACATGTCGAGCACACTCGATTTTGCGGGTGTGCCCGTCTTCGTCTCTTCTATCTATTTTTCCTCCTCCTCCTCCTCCTCCTCCTCTTCCCCCTGCTCCTCTCCTGCTCCTCCCCCTGTTCCTCCTCATCTTCTTCTTCTTCTTAGTAGCTATACTTAGGACTCGCACGTGCGAACACGTACCTCTTATTTTCTCGACTTCTTTAATACTCCCTCCCTCTAATGGAATCTCAAATCTTACGGTGGCCGAAGTGACACTTGTTTCTCTCTGTAACGATCGTTTAGAGTATCTCTAGCAGCCTATTTCTATTCTCGGCGGCCACCCTATTTCTCCCCTCCCACCCCCGCGCTACCGTCATCCTTTTTTTTCACAAGGGACGTCGCATTCTAGACAATTTTTCGTATGAATCATTAGTACCTCCTTCTAAAATGCTCTTTTATACCTAATATAATAGCATATTTCAGCCGTTTATTTTTCAAATAAATCAACTTACCTACCTTAATAGTTACATTTTTACATGGTCTTTTCATTCTGAAGCAATTTCTTACTAATTATTCTAATTGGGATAATAAATTTGACACCTTTAGAAACCCAAAAACATTATTCTACCAAGTCATCTGTTATCTATCTTTTTTCATTCTTTTCCAATAGCACATCATCGACCTCGCTGCACTTTTCACGCCCGATTTCTTTCTTTTACGGGTTAAGATGAAAGTACGAGGTCAAGGGTAACTTCTTGAATGATCTTCAAACAAAAAGCTGTCTTGCCTATTCAAAAATTGTTTCCTCCGAAAAGAAATAAAGACAAAAAGGATGGACGATAGATAGACAAAGATGCCTATCGATATAATTGTGTATTTGTTGAGATTTTTCAATTGAAAAAAGCCCAATCAATGATATATTTAGATGTATGTATGCATACATAGGTAGGTAGATAGGTAGATAGGTAGGTAGGTAGGTAGGTATACTGGTCGTTTTGTGCACACCTTGCTCAAGAGTGACGAACCCAAGCACCACTATATTTCTCTCCCTTTCTCTCTACAGCTTCCGGCAGGTATGCTAGAGTCAGGGAGCATAACACGAACATAATGGAAAGTATACGGACTTACGAACTCGGTGAAGATAGGGATCGGTTTCCATTCAAGTTGCATCCTACTACGTAGCCGAGAAATTATAATTGAAGACCAAATTTTCAACTAAACAAATTCGTCTCATTAATAATTTACACGAACTCTTTTAATCTAACTTTCATTATATTTTGTTTTGCGATAAAGTAAATTACACGTAGTGTAATCTTTAATAAGAACAAAAAGATTCGCGAGATAAGAACGTGCAATCGTCTTTTTCTCAATCCGACAAGGATCCAACGATAAGAATAAAATGACCTAATGCAATTAATCATCGCATAAATGTTTTTCACGATACAGAAGTATAAAACCAGAGATATACTCGATGGCACGCACGCATTACACGAAACCGCGAAGACCACGAGACGCGATGGTTTTGGTGCGTTTGGAACTTGAGAAGGGCTGCGAAGTCAAATGACGTGGGGGCTAGGCGCGAATCGGTATTTCGATAAAATGGCAAACCGATACGAACGGGACACCGTTTATAAGCGTGTCATTTTTCTTTTAATTACTTTTAAATAAGGAATTTAACGCGCGCGCGAAAGAAGAAAATACCTTTTTTTTTTCTGAACAATAATTTACAAGAGAGATCAAGACACGCGTACCATGCACGGTCTTAAAGATTCTAAGCAAGCATGCATACTCCCGGATTCCAGTGGCGTAACATTAACGTAACTCGTAATAACTGGAATTTATGGTATACCTAGTTATATCCTACGTTGTGATTGTATTACGTAATAACAAAATGGACCTCCTACAGACGTGCGTCAAAGCGATGTAGTATTAAATTTAGAAAAACAACACTTTAGCGAGAGCAACTTTTTCAACGTCATCAAATATTAATTATAACAATATGACGAAAGTTTCTCACGGTTGTGAATCGAAACCAACCGAAGAGAGAATAATAAAATCAAACGTCAGACTTGTCTTTCGTCGTTAAAACTTGTACAAAATGGCTTTCTAATTGTCGTAAAAAAGTGAGCTCGATTCTTCGTAAGGTAAGCTAGCTGCCCGATGTGTTTACGCCAATGTTTAGAATTACTGAATTGAATATAACTGGGAAGTATGTGGGAGCACGTATAGTCTGACTCCTATCTTATATTTGGAGAATATTTGTAGAAATGAAAGATCCCCGCCTAGTCTTCGTAATGTCAACATTTCTAATTGACTTATTTTTCTCTAACTTTCGCGAAAAGGCTTTCTCCAAAGAAAAGTAATGGAAAATTCGAAAATAATTGTTGGATGATTTTCAAAGTCAGAATATCTCGCGATCGATGTTATTTAAGCGGCGGCGGCAACACCAAAGTTTAGTTCGGTACACGTGAAAGTACCGGTACGAAGAAGCGATACGTTCAATAAAAAGATCCTTTTACCGATCGCGAGCGGAACGTGCGAAAGCAATGTATGAGAAATCCTCGCGTGGAGTCGACGAACGCAATTTGAGGTCAACAAAATGATAGAGAGAGAGAGAGAGAGAGAGAGAGAGAGAAAGAGAGAGAGAGAAAAAACAATAGGCAAAGAAATTGTGAATGGGAACGAAAAAGTATGCGATATCGTGTGATCGTAGAAAGGACTCTAGGAAATAGGGGGAACAATTATTAATCGTAGATATATTATGCATGGTAGTTAAAAAAAAAATATATATATAAAGACTAGATTTGCAATTTCAATTGAAAATTCCTACTGCATATAACATTTTCTTTCCTTCATGATATCATGACTTTTGTAGATATAACTAAAGAATCAGTTTTATGAAGAACTTTTATATTACCTCGCTAAGCACTTTTTTGAAAGACCAGTCATTTTGACTGGACTGGTTCGATAGAAATAGGTATATCAAAATAACTGGCAAATCTAGTGTTAATTGACGTTAGATCTTTTACCTGAATTTTTGCGGATTTGTCCATAATTTTATAAGAGGGGGAATCGTGATGATGATGGCCGGATGCTGCGATGACGGCGCCCGCCTTACGCGACACGCATTGCCCCATGTAAGATCCCCAACTTCGAGCCAGCACACTCTAAATGTGTACCAAAATTACAAATAAATCTTATTGTATATTTTCGGATAGATTGCTGTTATAAGCATCGCGTCCCTTAATATATTATATTACATATTATATGTTAATTTATAGCCAAGAGTATCTCGAGTTAAAAAACACTACGCTACTAAATAATGAACATATATTCATTTCGTCCATTTTTAATCGTCGATATTAGAGATGTTATAATTGATGATAAGCTGTAAAAGCTGTAAAAAGATGTTATGTTAAAAATGACGAAAGCGTGATTAATCCACCAAAACTAGGACCCATCACCATTCGTCTAAAAAATAAAACGTGCTAAGTACAAAGTTAAGTTGAATAATTAAGGGATAATATCGCAAATTAATCTATATAAATACATTCGTTTTTTCTTATGTATTTATCATTAACTTATATTCATCAGATTGCGGTTTCGCGATATCATCCCGGAAATCAAATTTTAATTCAACTTTGTTACTTTCCTTTATCTTGCCTTTCTTTCTTTTTTTCTTTTTCTTTCTTCAATTTTGGCCAATCCGATTGTATACTTTCGTTTAACTAGCATCAGCGGAAACATTTAATCGATATACGTATGTATATACGTGCTTGTATAAAAGTCTCTCTATAGTGCAACGTAATCAATAATCTAATGCAATAGGAATTTCCACAAAAATAAAAGAAAAAAGAAAGAATCATTTAGATATTTGTTATTTTGCTGCTACGTTTTTATATACATTTATAAATAATATATCAGATATGGTATGTAAGAGAGAAAATGACAATTAATGGAGAGTTAAAAGTCGATTTCGAATTCGTGACTGTTCCGCTTATACATCCTTCGTATATAATACGATGTGTACATATGTGCAAGCAAATCAAACTGTGTGTGTGTGTGTGTGTGTGTGCTATATCGTACTCGTGTGGAAAATTCACTCCCTGCAATTCGAAAAGCGAAAGTAACGAATAATAGAAAGAAGAAAAAGAAGAAGAAGAAGGAAGAGAATAAAAGTACATCTCGGATGTAATATAAAGTGGAAAGTGAGAAGAAATGAATTTCCAAATCCTTGTAGACATGCACCTTAAATGTACCATGTACGATTAGAAAAGGAAAGAGAGATTATGTAGATTTCTGCAATCACACCTACATCATGTTCTGCATTATATACACGGTGTCACACGCCAAATTCGTATTTCCTTACTCACACAAAAGAAACTCCGTGTTGTTCGATCTCTCGGCTGATGAAGGATTCTTTGAAAAATGCTGTAAAGAATAAAAACATTTGTGTGTTTGCATTTGTTCATAAGGAGTGCTTAAGATTTCCTCTTGGTTCAAGAGCATTCCTCGAGTACACGAATATCGTCCCCCATCGGTGCTCTTCCTTACATTACATTAAAGAAAATAAGCTTTGCTGCACGTCTCTTCTCCTCCTTTTCCACTTCTCTTTCTTTTGACAAAGCTCGAAAAATTGGACAATCCTCAAGGTGCAAGCGAGCATATTATTTTCGATCGACAAAAATACTCGCGAATAATAAATGTAAAAATATAAACGTAAAGATCAGTGATAAATAAGTCAACTTGCCTCTTCTCGCGCAATTGAATCTCCCGGGTAGCGATCCGTATGAACTCGTGGTATGCATCATAAAACTCTGATGCAAGGACAGCTACAAAGGACGCACCGATCCCGCCAACATGTCACTACACCATGGATCCTTGAATTTCGATCCTGTCGAACGTAATGTCAGACTCCTTGATCCGTTAAAATCGAAAGGATTTGGTCAGTTCGCGTTAGGTATCGCGTTAGGTATCAAGTTAGGGGTATCGCTAATCCTCAAGACTCGACCGAACACCACCTGTCATTTGGATATATTCGATAGTATGGGACATGCGTCGTGATGTCACTCGCGCTCGTTCCAATTCGACTCTATTCGGCTTTATTCGGTAAAACTCGCCAAGACTCGCTGTCGTCACCGAAATCTTCCGAAATGTAATACATCCTATTGACGCTAGATAGAGCTACGATCTCATTTTTCGATCGTAACACCATCTAGTGATCGATTTCTTAACCACTACTTCTAATCGATTACTTCTAATCGATTACTTCTAATCGATTACTCGAAAGGTTATTAACCTCGATTAATACTACGATTATATGATCCGCATGTGTACGTTGATCCATCATTTTTATGGTTATAAATTTAAATGTTTTACATTATATTTCAACTAATATAATGTTGTTTCATTTTATATCGAACATTTTTTTCAGATTATATCAAAGTCCAACATTGGCGTTTTTCTCATGCATCTCAATAATATCGGTGAATTTAACCTGGGTGAATAATCTTTATAAATATAAGATTAATTTAATATTTTGGCACACACACACACAATTAGCGAGTAACTTTTATCGATTATGGACCAGAATATGAAAGAAAAATCAACAATTCCCTCTGTGATCATTCAAAGAGAAGAAGACCGAAAAGAAATCATCCTTTTTGGGCGCAATATTCTAGAAATTCCTTGCTTTAGAAATAGTTTTTTATACGGTATCTCTAGTGGTGTAGGAGGTGGATTATTAGGCTTTTTATTTACTAGCCGACCCAAATTTGCTATGCATTGCGCAATGGGTACATATTTCAATGTAACGATTATTTATTGGTTCTATTGTCGTTACAATAGAGCTATGGATGAATTTAATGCTTCGAGAATGCAAGAAATATTTCAAAGAGCTGCTACGATGGAAGGTACCGATGACAGTCCTGAAATTATTGTAGATAAGGAACTGGTCGATGTCTAGACCTTTCCCAATTCTGTAAATATTAGTTAAATATAATAAGTTTATGCGTTAATATGTCTTATATGTACTTAGCACAAATACATATTTATATATACACAATATGTATGACAAATTCTGTATATATGATGCGTGAATATAAAATAGAATATTTACAATTATAGATTTTCAATCTACTATCATAATTTATACGATTCCTTCTACTAATTTATATATTTTCGATATACTCTCGTAGACAAATGTAAATATGGTGTTATTGTCTATTATACATTATGTAATAATGTATTAACACCTGTAAACATATTTTCTCTTGTAAGTGTACAAACATATTTTGTAATTATGACCTAAGAAGGACCTTTAACAATAACATTAAAGAATATGAAATAAATTCTCATTCTTCTTCTTCATCATCATCATCATCATCATCTTCTTCTTCTTCTTCTACTTCTTCTTCTACTTCTTCTTCTTCTTCGAGAAGGAGAAAGTAATTCCCTTAGAATAGTCAAGACATATACAATTCATCATATAAAAATTATTAAGTGAAATATATTAGGAATTCTCAAATAGAATAATGTCACAGAATGATACGAGCGAAGATGAGACAGATCTACAAACTCCAATGTTCCTTAGGAAAGCATCCAAATGTAGTCGTGGTACACCAGGTATATAATTATACAAAAATATCATTAGAAAACGATCTTTGCACAATTGTTCTTACTATTTCATTTAGGCACACCATCTTCTATTTCAAGCTCCATTATATTTGGTCCAATTCCGGATGAAGTTCTTCGTGTTTGGAGTCAATTACCTGAAGCAATTCGTTTAGATCCTAGTTTAGCAATTTTTCAAAAAGAATATGATAGGATTCATCAAACCGACAGAAGGTATATATTTAACTCGATGCATTTAAATATATCAAAACAATTCTCTATTTCATATTTTTATTCATTTATCATGATTTTAGATACTCCGATACAAAGAGAGATTGTTTAGTAGTAAATATGTCTCTTGGCACGCAACTAGCACCACCCGTAAGGTATTTGTATTTATTTTATAATTGTATTTTCATTTATTACGAACATGGAGATAATTTCAACATTTTTTTTCAATCAGAACACACCAAAATATTGGCGAAGACGATACGATACAAGATATACATGACCAAGAACAAGTTCATGAAAAACAAAGACCATTTTATCGTTATTGCAAGTTAATAGCTCTCACTTGTTGTTGGCTGATATTTACTGTAAGCATTTTAAGCGTGTACTTATTATTTTATCTATGACATATACATTCATACATATATATATATATATATAAAACGTTATAATAGGTGATATTAATGATCAAGACCGAAAAAGTGGAAAAAATGCATCAGATTTCCATTTCCAGCAATGAAATACGACGTATCCTTTTTCACGACAATAAACTTATATTCCATCTTTATGAAAAATCTTTCATACATTATTTATAATGCTATAACTTTCTTTAAATTTATTTACAATCAGATTACATATTGCAAGGTTCGATTGAAAGTAAAAGGCTCAGTATTACGGTAGAAGGTTCATTATTGCCTCCACTTAAACAAGATCTTAACTTAAATTTATCAAGTCATCATTTAAAAATATGGTTAAGTTTATTAATCAATGAATATAATGATTCAAATACTAGTCTGTATGAATATAATGTGCATTCAAAGGTAATTCTTATGTCTGAATATATTATTAAAGACGAGATACGAAATATAAGTATTTGCAAAAGTATAGCATATTAAAATAATTTTCAGAATATAAGCAATTATTGGATTTTACCTGTACTTCCAGAAAATTTAATGGATTTATTTCCCGATCAAAAACATCAAAAAGTCTTTGAATTGGATAACGTCGATGAAAAATTGACAGAAAATATAATATCTATAAATTTATGCACGGATTTAGAACATAGCTTTCCACTTTCAATTGCTTATGATTTATCCTCGATAAATACAGATGATGGTATACCATATGCTGCAGTTGTTTTATTTGGTCTATATGTATTAATTGTATTTGAGGTAAAAAAAAAAAAAACATATACATATATATTTTACACGTGAAATATTATTAACATATTTCTACGAGTACCTAAAAAGACAAATTGCATCTATTTTATATTTTTAGATTGTCCACAGAGCTTTGGCTGCAATGCTAGCATCAACTATGTCTGTGGCAATATTAGCTGCATTTAATGAGGTATTCCTTATACTTATCTATTTAAACAACTTTGTTTTTAATTCAATTGTTTATTTGATTTTTTTCTAATGTTGCTAGAGACCAAATATGGCAGAATTAATTTCATGGATTGACATAGATACGTTACTGTTATTATTTTCCATGATGGTTCTTGTTGCTATTGTGGCAGAAACAGGAATATTCGATTGGTTAGCTGTTTACGCTTACAGGGTACTATATATATATATATATATATATATATATATATATATATGTATATATTTATATATATATAATAACATAAATTATATTAAAAAATATATTTTTTCTGTATATTTCCATAATCAATAATATAATCTTTAGATAACTGGAGGTAAATTATGGCCATTAGTGAATACTTTATGTTTCTTTACCACATTTATCTCATCATTTTTGGATAATGTTACAACAGTACTATTAATGACTCCAGTTACCATTAGACTCTGTGAAGTAATGGAATTAAATCCTGTACCTATATTAACAGCAATGGTAGTTTATTCCAATATAGGTGGTGCCATTACACCAGTAGGTGATCCACCAAATGTTATCATTGCCTCTAATCGTGATGTTATTGACGCTGTAAATATTACTACCATAATGTATTATACTGCGATATAAGCATATTAATATATCATTGATTTTTTTTATTAGGGAGTAGATTTTAGTACATTTACATTGCATATGAGCATTGGTGTAATGCTAGTATTGATTGTCGTATATGCTCAAATGCGTTTCATTTTTCGTGATAAGGCAGTTTTAAGTTTTGATGAACCGCGAGAGGTACAGGTAAGCGTGATCTTTTATATAAATTCTTTGATCTTTCAATACACAGAGTATATTTTTCTAGGAACTGAGACATGAGATAGCAATCTGGCAAAGAGCTGCAGCAAGTCTGTCAAGTTATAGTAAAGATGAAAATTTAGTAAGAGAAACCCTGTTAAAGAAAGTACAACGCTTACTTTCACAACTTAAAAAAAAACTAGTGACTGGTAGCGTTGCTTTTGAAAAATATAAAACTACGCTCGAAGAACTAGAAGAAAAAGTAGTTTAAACATCGTTTTACATGAAGAGTAGAGATATTAATGGTCATTTTTTAATTAATAACATTTGTATATTTTCAGTATCCCATAAGAGACAAGTGGTTGCTAGTAAAATCAGGATTTACATTAGTGTTTGTTATTACATTATTCTTCCTTCATAGTGTACCTGGGATGAATTTATCATTAGGCTGGACCGCATTACTAGGTGTACTTTTATTACTAATATTAGCAGATAGCGAAGATTTGGATGGACTAATGGCTAGAGTCGAATGGAGCACTTTGTTATTCTTTGCATCATTGTTTATACTTATGGAAGTAAGAATGGAGAAAAAAATTGCATTACATAATACTACTAAGCATTATTTTGTTTAACATATAACTAATGTTGATATAATAACAGGCCTTATCTCGTTTGGGTCTTATTGCTTGGATAGGAAAGCAAACCGAAAGAATTATTTTATCTGTTAATGAAGAATCCCGTTTGGCTGTAGCTATACTTTTAATCTTGTGGGTATCGGCATTTGCAAGCGCATTCGTTGATAATGTACCTTTGAGCACAATGATGGTAAGAATAGCAATAAATTTAGCTAAAAATCATGAACTTAGATTACCTTTGCAACCTTTAATTTGGGCATTAGCTTTTGGCGCTTGCATGGGAGGTAAGTGGATTTTTAATTATGGATTGTCTTAATCTTTATGTTACCAGTATTTATGTGGTTGAATGGACGGTTCTGGTATTTACAGGAAATGGAACTTTAATTGGAGCTACTGCAAATGTTGTTTGTGCAGGAGTAGCAGAACAACACGGATATAAATTCACTTTTATTCAATTTTTAAAGTAATCTCTCTTTTTCTTTATTAGTTTTTTCCTTATTATGTTATTTCGCGAGTTTTTAATGTTTCTTTTTCTTTTCTTTTCTTTTTTTTTTTCAGAGTTGGCTTCCCCGTGATGATTACAAGCACTATGACAGTAACTATGTACTTGATGATTTCTCATGTTATTTTTGCTTGGAA